CCCCCAACTCTGCAGGCAGCCATGGGGCTGACCCCAAACAGTGCAGGCATCCATGGGGCTGACCCCAAATAGAGCAGGCTGCTATGGGGCTGGCAGTGCAGGCAACCATGGGGCTGCCCCCCAACTCTGCAGGCAGCCGTGGGGCTGACCCCCCATCAATGTGGATACCGATGGGGCTGCCCCCCACCCCCCCAGCATAGCCCCATAGGGATGCCCCCCAACTCTGCAGGCAGCCATAGGGCTGACCCCAAATAGTGCAGACAGCTATGGGGCTGGCAGTGCAGGCAGCCATGGGGCTGACCCTCAACTCTTCAGGCAGCCATAGGGCTGACCCCCAACAGAGCAGGCAGCTATGGGGCTGACCCCAAATAGATCAAGCAGCTATGGGGCTGGCAGTGTAGGCAGCTATGGGTCTGACCCCCAGCAGTGTGGATAACAATGGGTCTGACCCCCAACACTGCAGGCAGCCGTGGGGCTGACCCCCAGCAGAACAGGCAGCCATGGGGCTGGCAGTGCAGGCAGCTGTGGGTCTGACCCTAAACAGTGCAGGCAGCCATGGGGCTGCCCCACAACTCTTCAGGCATCCATGGGGCTGACCCCAAATAGATCAAGCAGCTATGGGGCTGGCAGTGCAGGCAGCCATGGGGCTGACCCCCAGCAGAACAGACAGCTATGGGGCTGGCAGTGCAGGCAGCCATGGGGCTGACCCCCAACTCTGCAGGCAGCCATGGGGCTGACCCTCAGTAGTGCAGGCAGCCGTGGGGCTGACCCCCAACTCTGCAGGCAGCCATGGGGCTGACCCCAAATAGATCAAGCAGCTATGGGGCTGGCACTGCAGGCAGCCATGGGGCTGCTCCCCAACTCTGCAGGCAGCCATGGGGCTGACCCCCAGCAGAACAGGCAGCCGTGGGGCTGGCAGAGCAGGCAACCATGGGTCTGCCCCCCAACTCTGCAGGCAGCCGTGGGGCTGACCCCCCATCAATGTGGATACCGATGGGGCTGCCCCCCACCCCCCCAGCATAGCCCCATAGGGATGCCCCCCAACTCTGCAGGCAGCCATAGGGCTGACCCCAAATAGTGCAGACAGCTATGGGGCTGGCAGTGCAGGCAGCCATGGGGCTGACCCTCAACTCTTCAGGCAGCCATAGGGCTGACCCCCAACAGAGCAGGCAGCTATGGGGCTGACCCCAAATAGATCAAGCAGCTATGGGGCTGGCAGTGTAGGCAGCTATGGGTCTGACCCCCAGCAGTGTGGATAACAATGGGTCTGACCCCCAACACTGCAGGCAGCCGTGGGGCTGACCCCCAGCAGAACAGGCAGCCATGGGGCTGGCAGTGCAGGCAGCTGTGGGTCTGACCCTAAACAGTGCAGGCAGCCATGGGGCTGCCCCACAACTCTTCAGGCATCCATGGGGCTGACCCCAAATAGATCAAGCAGCTATGGGGCTGGCAGTGCAGGCAGCCATGGGGCTGACCCCCAGCAGAACAGACAGCTATGGGGCTGGCAGTGCAGGCAGCCATGGGGCTGCCCCCCAACTCTGCAAACAGACATAGGGCTGACCCCAAACAGTGCAGGCAGCTGTGGGGCTGACCCCAAATAGACAGGCAGCCGTGGGGCTGACCCCCAGCAGAACAGGCAGCCATGGGGCTGGCAGTGCAGGCAGCTGTGGGTCTGACCCTAAACAGTGCAGGCAGCCATGGGGCTGCCCCACAACTCTTCAGGCATCCATGGGGCTGACCCCAAATAGATCAAGCAGCTATGGGGCTGGCAGTGCAGGCAGCCATGGGGCTGACCCCCAGCAGAACAGACAGCTATGGGGCTGGCAGTGCAGGCAGCCATGGGGCTGACCCCCAACTCTGCAGGCAGCCATGGGGCTGACCCTCAGTAGTGCAGGCAGCCGTGGGGCTGACCCCCAACTCTGCAGGCAGCCATGGGGCTGACCCCAAATAGATCAAGCAGCTATGGGGCTGGCACTGCAGGCAGCCATGGGGCTGCTCCCCAACTCTGCAGGCAGCCATGGGGCTGACCCCCAGCAGAACAGGCAGCCGTGGGGCTGACCCCCAGCAGAACAGGCAGCCGTGGGGCTGACCCCCAGCAGAACAGGCAGCCGTGGGGCTGACCCCCAGCAGAACAGGCAGCCGTGGGGCTGACCCCCAGCAGAACAGGCAGCCGTGGGGCTGACCCCCAGCAGAACAGGCAGCCGTGGGGCTGACCCCCAGCAGAACAGGCAGCCGTGGGGCTGACCCCCAGCAGAACAGGCAGCCGTGGGGCTGACCCCCAGCAGAACAGGCAGCCGTGGGGCTGACCCCCAGCAGAACAGGCAGCCATGGGGCTGACCCCAAATAGATCAAGCAGCTATGGGGCTGGCAGTGTAGGCAGCTATGGGTCTGACCCCCAGCAGTGTGGATAACAATGGGTCTGACCCCCAACACTGCAGGCAGCCGTGGGGCTGACCCCCAGCAGAACAGGCAGCCATGGGGCTGGCAGTGCAGGCAGCTGTGGGTCTGACCCTAAACAGTGCAGGCAGCCATGGGGCTGCCCCACAACTCTTCAGGCATCCATGGGGCTGACCCCAAATAGATCAAGCAGCTATGGGGCTGGCAGTGCAGGCAGCCATGGGGCTGACCCCCAGCAGAACAGACAGCTATGGGGCTGGCAGTGCAGGCAGCCATGGGGCTGCCCCCCAACTCTGCAAACAGACATAGGGCTGACCCCAAACAGTGCAGGCAGCTGTGGGGCTGCCCCCCAACTCTGCAGACAGCTATGGGGCTGGCAGTGCAGGCAGCCCTGGGGCTGACCCCCAACTCTGCAGGCAGCCATGGGGCTGACCCCAAATAGAGCAGGCTGCTATGGGGCTGGCAGTGCAGGCAACCATGGGGCTGCCCCCCAACTCTGCAGGCAGCCATGGGTCTGCCCCCCAACTCTGCAGCAGCCATAGGGCTGACCCCCCAGCAGTGTGGATACCGATGGGGCTGCCCCCCACCCCCCCAGCATAGCCCCATAGGGATGCCCCCCAACTCTGCAGGCAGCCAT